CATCTTTTGTCATCTTAAACAACCCTGGATGACATCTTTAGTTACATGAAAAAAAATTAATTATCAGTAAGTATTTATAAAACAACTACTGAGCCAAGTGCCGTGCTAGATGTTGGGGATAAAGTGAAACCAATGAAAAATTCTTACTCACAAGAATGAAAATAAATGTATCACATGGGACTATACATTTAAAAATACATATTTCTTCCTGAACTGAAGCAGTTTCACAAAATAATTTTCTTTTTTGTGGACTTAAACAATATTTGGCTTAATACAGACTTCTGGAAAAGAAAATTTCAGGTGTGAATAATATATTCTGACCAAGAAAGTAAAATCCCAATCAAAAGAAGGCCAAGAGTCAAAGATAAAGACTCTAATGTAAGTAAATTACAAGATGCGATTTCAAAGAACGTTTTGCTCTATATTTAAATATGTTATGAATACACTTTTCTTATTCTTTGAAACCCTACTTTTTAATACTGAAATTTAAACTGCCACAAGATTATATTTGAGTTGTTATTCAAGACTTTCTGTCCAACTGGTTTTTCCTGAAACTATTGTATCATGTATGATATATATGCAATATAACTATTATACATAACATATAATATATATAATTTTACACACACATACACACACACACACACACAAACTGAGCATGTTGGCCTGGTTAGAGGCTCAAATCTAATTTTATTTCCTATCTTGTTTCTGACTCTCTTAACCAGACTGGCATTCAGAGTTTACTTTAAAAGCTATCAGTATCTTGGACTCAATACCATTTTTAGTGAAATTGGATTATGAGATAAATAAGAGAGTCACTTTAGAAGAAGCTAACTCACTCTATATTTTGAAACATATTTTGTCTTTTGTTTTAAAAAGTCATTATCATTTCTAGATATATCCCCCCCCCCGAATTGAACCCTCCCTTTTAACAAAGAAAAATTGCTGAGCAAAAATAACTAATACAGTGACAGGGTTACCAAACTGGGAGCTAAGAGATGCAGGCACCGTAAAAGGAAATGTGCACTGACTCTGCGGTCAAATCCTAGGGAATCAAACCCTGCCTCTGAATGGATGAAAGTCACTTACCTTTTTTTTTTTTTTTTTTCCAAATTCCACATATACATAATATGGGGTTGGGTCTCTTCTAGCTCTAGATCTATGATCCTATGAATAATACAGTTAACTTAAATTTTAGAAATGTCTGATGCTATAATAACAGAAAAGATTAAGAGATGTGGGTAGAGACAGTAAATTTAGGAGAATTAGACCTCAAAGAGTAGTCATTAATTGCTTAATTTCTACATATTCTCTTTAAATTTATTCTGTAATACATGTATACTTGTCTCCCTCTTAGAATGTAAGCTCCTTGCAAGTAGGGACTGTTTTATTCACTGCTTTTGGCACCAGCACCTAAATAGGTGCTTTATAAAGTCTTGTTGATTCATGTCAAGCAGGCAGGTCTCCAGGGGAAACCTCTGTGCTGCTCAACATTTTTTATCAATGACTTAGATAAAGTAATAGATGCCATGTTTATCAGATTTGCAGATGACACAGAGGGGGGAGGAACAAACAACATAATAGATTACGGAGTCTGTATCCAAAAAGTCCTTAATAGACTAGAGCACTGGGTTGAAACTAATGAAATTAAATTCAAATAAATATAAGTATTATGCTTGGGGTTAAAAAAATTGACCTTAAAAGTACATGGTGGAAGAGGCATGGTTAGATAGTTTTTCTTTAATTAAAAAAAAAAAAAGAAAAGAAAAAGATCCAGGAGTTCAATAAGTCAACTGACCTCCAAAATTTAAACAAGTTGTCTGGGACTGTAGGTAGTAGTGAGAGAAGCACAGCTTCCAAGTTCCAGGTTCCACTATATTGTTGATCTCTGGTCAAATTACAACTGGAGTATTGTGCTCAGTTTTGGGCACTTCAGTTTAGCCTGGACACTGATAAGGCAGAGACTGTGGTTCAGTCGTGTTCAATTCTTTGAGACCCTATTTGTTGTTGTTGTTGGGTCTTTGTTTTTTTGGGTTTTTTTTTTGGCAAAGATACTGGAGTGGTTTGCCATTTCCTTCTCCACTTCATTTTGCAGATGAGGAAACTGAGGAAAACAGGGTTAAGCAACTTGCCAGGGTGACAAAGTTAGTATCTGAGGCTATGTAAACTCAGGAAGATGAATCTTCCTGACTCCAGGCCTGGCACTCTATTCACTGTGCCACCTAGCTGCCCCATTAAGGCAGAGATGGTGAAGAGCAATATATGCTACATGAGGTTCAAATGGAGGAAGCAGGAATGTTTAGCCTGGAGAAGAGAAGAATTCTTCTAAGAAGGATATGTAATTGTCTTCAAGTATTTGAAGGGGTGTCACATAGAAGAGTGATTAAACTTTTAGCTACAGAGAGCACAATAAGAAACACTGGGTGAAAATTGAAAAGAGGAAAACTCAAGCTTGCTATCAGGAAAAACTTCCTAACAATGAATAGTATCCAAAAGAAGAATTGGATGGTTGTCTTGGGATTTAGTGGATTTCCCCTAAATGGAGGTCTTCAAACCAACACTGGATGGTCACTTCTAGGGTATTGATGGGCATTTTCTTACATATAGATTGGACTAGATGGCTGTTCAGGTCTCATCTAACTCTAAAATTCCATGATTCTGGAGGAACCAGTATTATGTTACATCAAAGACAGAAAATAACGAAAACAATTTCTAATTTTTTTGGCAATAGAATTCATTTGAAAAGTCTATCACTTAAAAAATAAAAAGCAACTTCTGAATATTTGTCACACAAAAGGCGGTAGCTGCTGTTTCATTCTCAGCCTAATTATATTTCTAGGAGCCATACTTTCACATATAGCCTATGTGTTTATGAACAAATGCCTTTTTTTTTTTTGCTATAAGAGAACATCAGAAGTTAATTACTGAAAAAACCGTCCATCTAAGTAGCAAACTGAAAGTGAATTAGTCCAGACAAACCAGAAAAGCAGAAAGCAAATTCATTTAAAAATTGAAGTGAATCTTATATATTATTAGGTCTTGACAAAAAAAATAACAATTGTGACAATATGGAAAATATAATTAAGTATATAGTAACAAGGACTACAAACAGCTATGCTGAGATTTATCAAGAAAGGTTCTCTTTTTTTTAGCTTAGTGGTTCGAGATGTTAGCACCAAAGTAAACAATGTCTCAGTAGTCAGCAGGCTAGAATGAACTTAAAGAAAAACTCTGATATAAGGAAAAATTTCTAAACAATTAGGTAGTTCAAATGTGGACTGGAGAGTCTTATAAAGTGGTGGATTAGGAAAGATCTTCATTGTAGGTCTTGAAGCAAAGGCTTGATTGACCTTTTTTTAGTTGAGATGTATAAGGATTTTTTTTTAAGGCAATTGGTGTTAAGTGACTTACCCAGGGTCACATGGCTAGTGTCAAGTGTTTGGTATGAGGCCACATTTGAACTCAGGTCCTCCTGACTCCAGGGCTGGTGCTCTATCCACTGCACCACCTAGCTGCCTCAGGATTTCTTTTTCAAGTAAAAATTGGACTAAATGGCCACTAAGATGATTCTCCAAATTCTAAAAATTTCTGAGTCTGAATAATCTATCTTCAACAAAGTAAATTTATACAAACCTACTACCACCGTTCTAACAAGTAAAATATATGGAAATTTTAAAAACAAATTAAAGACATTAATGATAATGATTTCTATTTAAAAAATTATCCTTTCCTTTATAAAAATATGAACACAAGTTCTGTAAAATACTGAGCACATCATTTAAAATAATGGAGTTTAAAACAAACAAACAAACAAACAAACAGTGCCTTTCCAGAAACTCATATTGTACAAAGCAATGTAATACAGGTAACTTCAATTTATTATAGTGGTAAATCAAAGCAGAGGCACTCCCCAGTACCGAGAAAATGAGCAGGTTCAATTAAATAATTCCTATTTCAAAAATGATTCTTCCAATTGTAAAAATATGCACAGATGCATTTTTTTTAATACTTTTAAAAATAACTGCCAAAACGCACACGAGAACAAATCTTTCCTCAGGACGTTAGTGGGCAAAGTATCATGTGGTCCAACTCGGAGTGTCTATAGCCAGGGAAAAATACTCAAAAATCTTCCATAGAAACAGGGAAAGACCTGCAACCAGCACTAGGAGTGGGGATACTCGCTCAACCAACAAAGACCACAACCCAACTATGTTTTACCAGCATTAGTCATAATTAGTTGCTTGAGGGGGAAAAAAAGCCAAACAGCCACCAAAGGTCAGAGGTCATTGGAAGCCAGGTCCGCCTGTTTTCGAGCCCTGAGCTCTAGCCACAGCGACACGCTGTCATTGCGGTCATTTATGTCTTTTGGCTATGACTCATAATTAGCTACAATTTACAAGGAATTTGTAGTTTAGGAAAAAGAAAATAACAAAAACCCCACTAAGTAAACGCAGGCACTAAGGCTTTGAGGCCATCTTCCACCTGGCTTTCAGGAAATTAAGGAGAATGGTTCTCACAGAAAATAGATATGATTCCTTAACTGGGAGGGGAAGAAGGGACAATTTGAGGTTTTTAATAAAAAGGGGTACTTAATCTCAGTACAATTCTCTTCATTTTTTTTTTTTTTTTTTGGTTAGGCAATGGGGTTAAGTGACTTGCCCAGGGTCACACAGCTAATAAGTGTTATGTGTCTAAGGCCGCATTTGAACTCAGGTCCTCCTGAATCCACTGCGCCACCTAGCTGCCCCATACAATTCTCAGCAACTATTCCACTTAGTTATTTCCCTCCTGGTTTGCCTGGGTGAAAGGCCTCTCGGGCTCGGGGACCAGCCCCCTCTCCCACCACAGTCAAAGCAGCCGAGCCGCGGGGAGTCCCGGGGGAAAGGTCGGTCAGAAGCCGAGCACAAGTGGTCGGCCCTCCCCTTCGCACCACAGCCGCGCTTCGGGCGGTGCGACGGGGCCGGCTGCTAGGCCGGGATCCGTCGGCTCGCCCCACCTACCTGTCCTACCGGCTCCCCGAGTCGTGTCGCGGCGGCCGCCGCTCCCAGAGCGGCTTCTCCCCTCGAGGGATCCTTGTTCATAGCGTGACACGAGGCGGCGGCGGCGGCACTCCTGGCGTAGGTGAAATAGACTGTAATTGCAGATAAACCTGCATCCATCCTCCGCCTCCCAGAGCAGTCCGTGCCGGAGCCACAGCCTCTCCAAGAAGCATCAACACCTGCCCGGAGCAGGCGCCCCTGGGGCCCTCATGGGCGTGGCCACAAGCCTGGCAGAACGAGGGCGGAAGCTTCCCTCCCCGGCGTCGCGTCGCCAGGGCCCCGCTTGAGTCCCGCCTCTTCCGGCGCGTGGTACGCTGTGTCCGCCCCGCCTCACGTAACCACTTATACTGGGCGTAATTTTGATAGTGCAGTGGCCCGTGTTTGTAATGTGAATGCCGTCGACGTTCTGCCTAAAACTTTCGTGGGTCGAAGGGACAATTTGAGGTTTTTAATAAAAAGGGGTACTTGCTATTTAGGGGAGCAAAAGGAGAGTTAACTTTTGCTATAAATCCAGTCTCTGTGGGATTTTTAACTGCATGGCATTACTTTTTATTTTTAATTTTTTTTAAAAAGGCTACCGTTTGCAATTAGGCCCCCAATTTAACAACCCGTAGGAAATGCTCCAGTAAGCCTACAACAATGCCTTTTCTGTCGTGCAGAAGGTGGCTGCTGTTTCATTTTCTTTACCTTCTGCCTAACTTTTTCCCCCTAGGAGTCATACTTTTAAGTATGTGTTTGTGAACATTGATTAATTTTTAAAAGCTCTAAGAGAAATTAGATGGAAAATGGCTGAAAAATAGATGTATTTAAATAGCTATTTTGAAGGGAACTTGGTGGGAGAGACAAAGCAGAGAAAGAAAACTGTATTTTTATTAAAAAATATTTTTAAAAAAATAAGTATAGAGACAACAAAATATAAAAATATGTAGTGAGGTTGAATTTATAACAAGAATATATTTAATATAAGGAAAAATATAAACATGATAGACTGTATGAATAACAAAGATAATAAAGATCTCATGATAATAGATTTTGAAAAAACTGAACAAAATTCAACTGTCACATGTTATAACAACACTAAAGCATTGGAGCCTTTTCTTAAGTGGTAAGTAACAGCTTTCTGAAACCAAGAGAGTCCTTTCCAATTAAATTAGTGATATTCATTATTACCATTATTATTTAATATAGTGCTATAAATAGAGGAAAAAACAGGTAAAGTGGAAGTAAATTTTTTTTGGTAGGTGAGAAAATGGTATAAAAATTCTAAGAATCAACTAAAAACTAATTAAAATTTTAGCAAAGTTGCAAGGTATAAAATAAATCATTAGCATTTTTGTATTTTATCAACAAACCCAATAGGAAAAGAGAGAAAAAGAAACACCATTCAAAATAATTACAGACTAAAATAAAACATATGGGAGGCTACTACCAAGACACACTATAAAAACACAAGACAAACTGTACAGAAATAGATCTAAATAATTGGAGAAATATTAGCTGCTCATAATTAGGCTGTCCCAATAAAATAAAAATTGCAATATTACCTAAATCAATTTACAGTGTTGTACTAATTAAACTACCAAAGGACTACTTTATAGAGGTTCTTAACTTTTTTTGTGTGTCACGGACCCCTTGGTGAAGCCTATGGACCCTTTCTCAGAATGTTTTTAAATACATAAAATAAAATACATAGGGTTACAAAAGAAATCAATTACATTGAAATAGTTATCAAAATTAAAAAAAAATTCACAGACCCCAAGTTAAGAATCCCTGATTTGGAGGAATAAAAGATCAAGAATGTCAAAGGAATAATGAAAAGTAGGAAGGGAATACGCATTTATATAGTACCCACTAGGTGCCAGGCAATGTGCTAAGTGCTTTAAAATATCTCATTTGATTCTCATAATAACTCTAACAGGTGCTGTTATTATCCCATTTTATAGTTTTGGAAACTGAAGCAAACAGAGATTAAATGACGCTGAGAGTCACATACTGAATAGGTGGCTGAGGCCAATTTTGACCTCAGATCTAGTACTCTTTCCACTGCACCACCGCCAAGTTGTCTCAACACATAGGAATTATAAAAATACAACAAAACATGCTTTACAGAAATACAGACTTAAATAATTGCAGAAATATTGTATGCTCATGTGTAGGACAGGGGGTCTAAAAGTAATAGATCTCAAAGACGTAATCATCAAAACTATTTGGAAAAGGTTAAAAGAGAAAGATCCCTCAATGGAACAAACAGAATTGAAGGGCAAATAAACCTAGTAGTCTAATAGTTGTCTGATAAACTTTAAAGACCTTAGCTATTGGGGTAACATAGGAAAGTTAGAAAGCAATCTGGCAGAAATTTGGTATACACTAACACCTCCCACCATATGACAAGTTCCAAACAGATATATAACCTAGATATAAAAAGTTACATCATAAACTGGAGGAGCAAGAAATTACCTTTTGGATCTATAGATAAATAGTTTGTGACTAAACAATAGTCTCGCATAAGAGAAACAATTTTGATCATATACATTTTAAAAATTTTTGAATGTCCTCAATGTTCTTAGAGGAGCAAATGTATTAGTATTCAGATAACTAAGTAACAAGCCCAGGGTCATGCAAGCTGTTCTGTTTCAGAGGCACAATTAGACCTCATTTTCCTGACCCCAGTTAACACTTTATTTACTTCCCTATGCTGCCTCTCTTACTATTTCATTTAACGTTCACAGTTTTTGAAAATGTCCTGATTTTCAGAAAAAGGGAAGAGAACAGAATATTTAAAAAGCCTAGAAAAAATTAGTTACATGACAAACAAGATTCAAGGCATAATGTTTAAAATCATTCAACAGTTGTGATTTGGCTAAAATTTTCAACAAGGTGATAGACTAAAGCATAAAGTTACTTTCATTTAGATCAGGGCTTCTTAAAATTGTGACCCTTTTTCGCTGGAGAAATTTTTATATGACCCTGGGTATATAGGTATATAAATCAAATATTTACTGATAATAAATCATAAAGAAATTGATTTTAAAGCAATTCTTTGGTATACATATAATTTTACCATTTATTAAAGACCAAAACAAATTTACATACTAATGAGATATTTGTGCTTGTTTATTTTGAGATAATGAATTAAATCTTGGTGGACTATTTGATATTGTAGGACACAGAACATCTTCAATGTTTTTTTCAGAATTCATCAATATTTTGATTTTATAATCATCAATGCTGAGAACATCACTTCACACAAGCACATAGTACAAAATGGTAGAAATATGTTTAGGGGCATTTCAGAAACTTGGAAATCTGTCCTAATCCCAAGCCAAAATTCATTTAACGATTTTGTATGTACAGTAAAAGACTGCAACTCATAACATACAATAGTCTTGAATCTGAGCCAAGGTGTTTCTGGCAGCATTCCTTGGTGTTGTGTGGTGCAAAGTGTGTATGTTGTGTGTTCAGAACCAAGGTTTCAGTGAAGTTGCTGCAATGCAATGTGGTCAAGTGCTGCAAGAAACCCCTTGGATTCATTACATGTTTGATTCTGAATTAATTTTTGGTCGTTGTGTGTTCAGAAACCTTCTACTGTTGCCAAATTTTTCACGACCCCCACATTCAGAAGCATTGATTTAGAAAGATTGCTGGCACTATATTAACTATAAAAGATATTCAAGCAGATTTAATAATTATAACTGTCTTTAGATATATACAAACTATATATGTTTTCAGATTATATACAAAAACATAAGCAAATGTCTTTAATTAATGGGACATTTAGAGTCTCAATATTGGTTAGAGATAGTTAAATTTTCATTTAAGCATTATGCTATCATCTTTGAGTGTAACAATTTTTTTTTCTAGCTTGACTATATCCCTGTTATTTTGAATTTTAATCTTTTTTATAGATTTTTCTTAGCTAAAATCAAAACCAGTATGTGGCACAGGCTAAGGAAATTAATACTTAAATAATTATTTCTATGAAAAAAAGACTTTTGTATAAGTTCTATTTCCCTAGCAAAGAATGGTATCAGTCAGCATCACATATAATAAAATTTTATTATTGACAACATATTACTGTGAGAATTCCTGCATGGTATCAGATTTAAGTCATTAATTTTCTTTCCTAAAATTAGGAATATCAGTATTATATTAAATCTTGACTTCTGGTCCAGTTAGAAACCTGTGAATTAAACAAGTTGATAGGTAAGGAATCAAGCATATTTAAGATACTATACAGTCAAAGGAAAATTTACTTAAATATTTACAAAGTACTTAACAGTTTTATAGCATTTTCTACTTTCAAATGACATTAGTAGAGAATTGTCAAGTTAACATTGGTTAAAAAAACTCCCACAAACCTCTCAAAGGAACATCAGAGCTTGAGAAGCCTTTTGAAATAATTCCCAAACTTTGAAATAGTTTTCCACCATTTTTTGGTCCCCATATCCTTTGGCTGAAAGGCAACATATTCTAGAGTTTACCATGAATATAAGAAATAAAGAAATTAATTTTTCATAAAGAAAATTTTATTGAATACATACTATTTGAGTAGCATAAAGTTGTCAATGTTTATGAGAACAGAGTAATTAGTGAGATGCTTGATTCTATTTCCTGTAAATCAAAAATTTTATTCTCTGTGGAGACAGATATAAATACATCACATTGTCTCCAGTTTGTTTCTTGCTTTAGATCTTATTGAGTACAAGACTGAGAATCCTACTTAAAAGAGATAAATTATTATTAATGGAATTAAGGCCTTATAAGCATGTTTAGTAAGAATGGGACATGCATGTCCAAGAATATGCCAAAAATGTTATAATTTCCCTAAATGGAAATTAATTTGGAATTTCTAGTTATTTTGGGAATCAGTTAATCTCTTACCTCTTTGCCATATTCTCTCCAATCTACAAATTTTTCTTTACTAACAGTACTACATTTGGAATATTTCAGTAAGATAACATAGTTATCTAGAGAGGCCACAGGAAATAGTGGTTAGAAAGTTGCCATCAAAATCCAGAAAACCTGAGTTCAAATCCCATCTCTGACTCATCCTGTTATGGGACCTGGGCATATGACAAACCCTCTAAGACTATAATTTGCAGATAATGTACCAATGTGGGTGTGTTTCCTCACCCAGGAATTACCTTTGCCAAGGAAATCAAAGGTCTAGTCTCTTTCCTGTACCTTTTGCCCCTTGATAATTTTCATATACCCCATAGTGGTATGGGTAATTCAGGGTAGGATCCCTTGATCTAGTTCAACCCTTCCATTTTACAAAAATTGAGGAAAAACGTGGTCTGTAAGTTAAATGATTTAGACATGATCACAGAGTAAATGATCTGCCCAGGATTCAAAGTTTCATCTCATTCTTAGGGATGCCATAGCTTTTCCCACTACAACTAATGTTCTTTCCTCTGCAAATCTAGTTCTGCACCCCTAGAAATAAAAACAAAAAACTGGAAAAATCTTCATTATGCTCAAAATGGAGAAAAGGAAAATTGGGCAGTTCTCATTAGCCAATGTTTGACAATTGCAAATATATTTTAAGGACAAAAAAAACTTCACAAAAATGCATACAAAGAAAGGGGCAACACACCTTAAATATATTTTATCCAATTAGTTCTTTTCTTTGACTTATTTGTTGTTGAACCTCAGTACATTATTTCTCTTTAAAATATATAGGGTAGACTGACTTTTGAAAGAATCTAATATTTAGTGA